TGTATTTATTGTACAAAGTTAACTAAGAAAATACTGTGTATGCATTGCTAAACTTCCATATGCCAAAAGGTGCAATGCATACAACGAAGGTGAAATCTGTGAGAGACAGAGACAGAAAGATAGAGGGTGAAAGAGAAGAAGAGGTGTAGATTAAATGGCTACTGAAGTCACTCTTTGCTTTTTTCCTAAATTCTCTGAAGTGGTCGGTCTTAGTCCAAAAGGAGCCTCCTTCAGGCATTTTGTTGTTTATAAAAATAACACCTTGCAGTAAGCAGTTGAAAACTGGCTTCACCGGAAGGACGGTTCTGGGAAGCCTGTACCTTTTGCTTGTCTTTGTCCTTAGCCCTTGACAGGTTTGAATGCCTGGTGTGGGCTCGGTGCCCTTTCAGTATGGGGTGAGACCCACCGCCTGTGCACCTTGAGGGTTTCTCCTCCAGAGTTTATGAAGACATCACTTTTGTCTTCGGGGTTGGGAGTCAGGCTGAATGATCTCCAACATCAGGCTAATCATAGTTCAGAACTTGTCCAATTGGCTCCAGTATCACAGAGTCCACAACTCAAGGGAAGACTTGGTATATATAATGTACTCTGGACAATTCTAAATGTATATCCGAGTATATGTAAAAATGTTGCTCCCTGTCTGTTCACTGTTCATTTACTTTCTTTTCTCATTGTTTCAGCTGTGTTTTGGTGCCTCTTTCTCCCTTTAGATCACACCAACCTGTTCATTTCTAAAAGCTAGGGATGTGGGGAGAGACAGAGTGCGGAGAGTTGCGGGGTGGGAGGGAAAGAAAAGCTAACAGAGTTTCATGTGTTCCCTGATATGGAAAGTGAGCAGGCTTACTAGAAGCTTGAGCAAACTTTTCATTTAGTGTGTGCTTTTCTCTCTATAGGTAAAAAAAATCTCAGCCAGATATTGTAGCTATTTTCAGCTACTCAGGATGCTGAGGCAGGAGAATCCTTTGTGCCCAGGAGTTTGAGATCAACATAGGCAATTCAATGAGACCATTAAAAACAACAACAACAACAGCAACAAACAAAAAATAAAACCCAGGTTAACTTATACTGTACTTTGTCGTATTTTATAGTTGTTATAAATATCACATTGGAATATCTAGTCTTTTGTTATTCACCTCTCTCATTTTTAAAGAAAAAATTCCAATTATACATGAAGTTAATAGTCAATGTTCAAAAATTAATTTCATTCATGTTTCCAAAATGATCTACTTTATAAAGTGCAATAAAAATACTGAAGTTTTAAAGTGATTTAGCCTGTGATCCACATTTAAAGTCAGGCATTCATTTTAGGGAGCTAACCATCAAATTAAATTTTATTTGGTCTGTCAACTTTCAAAACTGTTACATTGTTACTGGTTAAATGCATGTTATTAAAACAAAACTTGTTCTCTGGCAAGAGCTCTATGAATGGTTAGATTCTCTTCTAGCACTTTTTTTTAAAATTTCAGGACTCTCAGAAAAGTATGAATTAATTGGAACTGTACAGGAATGACGTTCCTACAGAGAGATAGCAATGGTGTACTCTCTCTCCCACTTTGTGAGGGGGAAAAAAAGAAAAGATTATTAACTCCAGAACAACAACAAGAAAAACCAAACACCCTTGCCTCTAACAGCTACAACCACCAACTCTGTCAGCCAGCTTTGAAACACGGTTAATTTGCTAAGCCTGCTGAACAGGGTCGAACAGATGCCACTCTGAAGAGCTTACTTAAATGAAACATTTAGATCCTCGATTTTTACCTTCCATGATTCCAATGGATGCAGAATAAAAAAATAGTGTTTGTTCTGTCTTATACCTCTGATAACTGCCAAAATTTGCAGTTTATATATGGATAATTTTCTAAAGAGGATTAAAAGTATCATTTGCACAATAGGTTTATAAGTTTCAGTGAAGCCAGAGAGGTATCAAAGGGCAGAGACAATACAGTTGCACCAAGGACCTTGGATAAGACTGCGGTAGCAACTGAGGGGTGACATACTGCCTCCTTTAAATACCCATTTTATCTCTATTTCCAGTTCTCAAAATGAATTGTAGTAATGAGTGTTAGAAGGAAAAAACAATGGTCATAATTTTGATGCACCAAAATCTCTTCCTCCACATCTGTGGGGTTGTTATTCTACTTGTAGATACATTCTGTAAAACCTTTTGTTCGACTTGCAACTTTGTTCTCAACCACATATACTGGGGTATTCAAGTTTTTTTGTGGATAATCCGGATGTTCTAATTTTCTCATGAATGTTTGAGATCCTGACACCATCAATTACTTGATATCTATTTATCCAGAGATCTACTTTCCTTATTTTTAATTGGTGAGAAACAGCTTTGAGAATGCACTCTCCCCTCTTTCCCCCTGAACTTGTTGGCAATGCTTGTATTCTCTCTCTCTCTCTCTCTTTCTTCCATCAGAACACTTATAAATGTTCCTAACTTGAAACATGTGAAATTGAAATTGGGCCTTTTAACAGAAAACTGGAAAGACCCAGAATTTATCAACAGTATGGATACAAAATAGATTTCGTGGGATAGAAATCTCCCGTTAGAGTAAGGTAGCCTTGACCTCAGTGATCAGCACCCACGAGGACACAGAAGATTGAGGAAAGAGTAGAGAACATCACGCCTGTTTCTAACTGGATGTTCCAGTGCTGTTTCAGTGGCAGGAATTTCGTGTGCTCCCGTTTCATCTCATTAGCAATTCAACATGTCTGATTTGCCCACACCATACTTTCAACTTTACCCTTTTGACCTGGGACAAAGCGAAAGCACACTGTGCCCTCTGGAAAGGTGTCCAGGCAAGTCGGTAGGCAGCACGCTTGCCAATCCGGGTTCGGTTAGCAAAGAATAAACACATTTCATTAAGACAAGTACTCATGCATGGACTTCCTCCCTATGCAGTTTTCTATTTCATTTTCTCGCACCCCCGCCCCCTTGCTATTCATCTTTTTATCGCAGTTCTTAGCAAGATTTCATATTTCTCGATAGCAGAAACTTCTTTCTTCCTGGCTATGGCCAGTGATCCACACAGTTTAACTGCGAAGAAAAGGAACTGAGCAGAAATTTATTTGAAGGTAGGGAACAGCGACACAAGTCTAACACATTCCCTGGGTAAAGTTGTGGCTTGTTACATAGCAATTAAGGAATCAGCTAAAGCAACTACAAGCATCAATTTTACTGGAAAGCCCTAAAATTTGGTCGCGCAGGAATGTCTTGTAACAGCCCAAGTACAGACGGAACGCGAGGTTTCTCGGGGAAAGGCAGGCGCTCGGCTGTGCCTCAAACTTGACGAAAGACGCCCAGAAGCTGCGCCTCCCTCAGCTGCTCGCCGAGGTGCACCTGGCCGACCCGCGGCGCGGAGCGGAGAGGAGCGCAGGCTGGGGGGACCCGGGCGTTGGTCGCGCAGGAATGTCTTGTAACAGCCCAAGTACAGACGGAACGCGAGGTTTCTCGGGGAAAGGCAGGCGCTCGGCTGTGCCTCAAACTTGACGAAAGACGCCCAGAAGCTGCGCCTCCCTCAGCTGCTCGCCGAGGTGCACCTGGCCGACCCGCGGCGCGGAGCGGAGAGGAGCGCAGGCTGGGGGGACCCGGGCGCCGGGCGATGTATTTATGGTCGCCACAGTGCGCACCGAAAAGCTTGCTCCACACCCCCAAAGTGCGCGGGGACTCGGAGCCTGGAAACAAGCCCCTCCCAGCGCAGCTGTCGCCGCCGCCTGCGGGCTCCTTTCACTTTCTCACGGCCAAGTCACCCAGAGGGGCGCCGCTGCAGACATCGCCGCTGCGCCCGCGGACTCCGCCCCGCGCTGCCTCGCTA